TGTCACGGCAGTCTAAAATTATTTTGGAATAGTTATTCTGTGGAGGCTAAAGGGCAAATAATTGGACAGTCTCTGGTAGTCACTTACATTATTTGTGTAGGTGAACCTGGATAGCCCAGGCTAGACTGATCTCATCGGATTTTGGAAGCTAAACTGGGTCAGTCCTGGCTAGCATTTGGAAGGGAAACCTCCCAAGGAACATCCCGGGTTGTGATGCTGGAGGCAAGCAATGGCAAACCACCTGTGAATGTCTCTTGCCTTGATAACCCCTCAGGGTCGCCATAAGTCAGCTCTGACTCGATGGCACTTTCCACCACCAGATGAACATGTGTGTTTTTTTTTTAAAAAAACTGCAGCTGCTTAATCGCTTAATGCAGTTGCTGGAAATTAATCTTATATTAACTTGAAACAAAACATATTGAATTTCCAGAACTCAGATTGCAGCCTATCCTTGAAATATATTACATTCTGTTTTGGATAGGGTAGTGTTAAGTTCTGCCCATGTCAGTGCTAAGGAAAGGGGGGGGAAGCAGCTGCTTGCTAATGTCAGGGAAACCTGATTGGAAGCAATGAGCTCAATCAAAGGAAATCAGTGGAATGTGAACGTGCCTGACTTCTTCTGAATTTTCCTAATACTTGTAGAAGGTATTTTACACAGATATGTATGAAACATTTTTGTTCAGGACAGATGTTTGTGCTGAACGTGATCAGCAAGTACTATTCAGACATGCCACCCACTGGAAGCTTTTGAAAGAAAAAATGTCAATTAATGAAACCTATATAACAAATATCCTATTTCACCTATGCAAAAGCTTTATCTTACTCCGTAAACTCACTGAAATCTTCAAAGGAATCTCCTTTTCTAAAGACTGCTAATGCAGAACAGTGCTCTCCATTGCAATGCATATTTTTATTTGGTCAAAGGATTTAAATTAGAATTACAGTACCATTTAAAACCTTGGTGGTGGAAAGCTCCATCAAGTCGCAGCCAATTTATGAATACCCCATGAAATAGGGTTTTCACGGCAAAAGACAGACAGAGGTAGTTTGCCATTGCCTGCCTCTGTGCAGCAACCCTGGACTTCCTTGGTGGCCTCCCATTCAAGTACTAACCAGGGCTGACTCTGCTTAGCTTCCAAGATCTGACCAAATCAGGCAAGTCTGAGCCATCCAAGTCAGGGCAAAGCAACAACAAAAAATTGTATTTTTTGAGTTCAGTATATTGAACCAGAAAAATATCAGAATTTTCCAATATTCCTGATTGGGAATGGCATTTGGATTTGGGAAACTTGATTTTTTTGGCTCCATTATATTCTATGGGGACCATAATAGTCCCCATAGGGTATATTGAAGAATCAAGCTGCAAGAGGAGCTAGCCCCAGGATTGGCCGGGGTGACAGGAGCTGAGAGCTCCACGCCACCTCAGTTGGGCCTGGCTCCTCTTGTAGCTCAGTTTAAACCTCTTGCAGCTCCCACCATCCCAGCCGATCCTTGGCTTGGCTCCCTTTACAGCTCCAGTCCTAGCCAAGGTGGCACGGAGCTCTCAGCTCCTCAGCTCCTACTGCCCCAGCTGATCTTTTCTTTTAAATTGAGCTGCAAGAGAAGCCAGCCCCAGCGGAGGTGGTGTGGAGCTCTCAGCTCCCACCACCCTGGCCACTCCTGGGCTGGCTCCTCTTGCAGCTCGCTTTAAACTGAGCTGCAAGATGTACCCAAATAAATAAATATACCCAAATAAATGTACCCAAATAAAAGCTTGGGGGGGAATGGCTTTTATTCGGGCTCAGCCAGTCAGATTCTTTGATCTGTGTTTGGTTTAAATAATACCTGAACAAAATTGGGTTCTTTGCCTCAGTTTGTGCGGAATGCACACCCCCTAGACAGGGTCCATTCAAAACCTTAGTTGCATCTTAATACTGTCCTCATAGACATGTATACAGTTGACATAACTGTTGCTGCTGAGGTCTTTTCAGTATGGCTAACTTCTTCCCTGCTCTGTCTCATACTTGTTATATGCTCCAAAGAGAAATTTCTTTTTCAGCCTTCAGTAACTGAAAATATATTGCTTTGTGAACATTTTCTGTTATATATTTTCTGTTATATATTTAAGCCTAATATTGTTTTTTTAAATACACAGAAAAGGTTTATCTCACTAAGAATTCTTCTACTTCACAGACACCAAACTATCTTGTTCCAGTGTCTCCATAGCCTCTTTGGATTGCTACCATCAGCTTGTAAGATAAAACCCTTGAGATTAAGAAGCAAGAAAGTACTTGCTGGGCAGCTTGCACTAGCTTTAGAAAAGGAAATGGTCTCTCTCCGTCTTTCCCTTTCCTCTGCTTTACACAAAACTGAAAACAACTTGCTTCTGGATGATGAAGAAAGTAAAGAAGCAGACAGGGTCCCTGCAGTGCAACAATTCAGAGAAGCATTTAAAAAGGGGCAGAAACAAAGTGTCCTGGGTACAACCCGAACATTGGGTGGTTCCTTCTACAGAAGAATTATTTTGAATGTAGTTGAAGCTCAGCTGAATTCTGACACAATCACATGGCAATGCTCCTCTCTCTAACTTTATTTTCAGTAATTTTTTACAATTGAAAAGTACATAGTATTACTTATGCTGAATTCCATTTTATCATGCAAATGAGCTCTGTAAGTGTTGTAATGTCTATTCAGGAAGTGCTTAGTTGCAAGGAAATTCTGTTGCTAATATTCAGAAGAGTATCTGTTTGAGTTATACAGAAGTATACTTGCCAGTATAAGTACTTCTTTAATATTTTTATTCCCTACTATGATTGGTATCTCACTTAAAACAGATTGGGAGTCTTTGAAATGGGAAGGGAGAGGAAGGGGGGCTGCCAAAACCTTCGTAAATGCCATTGTTTGACAGCCCTTAGACTTAGCTATAGCCCATTTTCCAAGTCTACAGTGGCACACTAGATAAAGTCATACACACTTTGTTTGCACTGCTGTACCCAAAAGCAGATTCCCAAGGAAGGGTACCCCACAGCTAGAAAAATCCTACTGTAGGTATTTACAATAGGGTGTGTACTGTATTTCTATAGCACTTAGGACAAGCCACAGTGGCTTTCTTCTTCTGTCTGAATAAAATGTAATTTGTTGGGATAGTTTTTCACAGCAAAAATAATCAATTGTTTAAAATTAGTGCAGTTCACTGTGGAGGTAGTCTTGGCTACTGAATGCTGTGGGTGGCTGCTGGCATTATGTTTGGGTTTGGTGAATGGAGCTCACCATAGCTGAAACTTGCAGAACTATTGAATACAGAACTATCAGCTCACAGAACTATTGAATAAAGGTATCAGACAACCCCCCCATGCAATGTGGAAGTATTTTTCTTATAAAATTACCAGTTCTCAACAAAACTGCCAAAACTGATGAGATCATGGTTTTCTTATTCATTCTTCTGAATCTTAATCTTTATGGTTTAACTGTCAAAGTGTTATATAGAAATTGTAGTTAATCATGCTGTGGCTATAGCAGGAGAGCCCTTTACTCTGCTACTGCATCTAGCTATAGATGTATGCATTTCAAAATGTTATTGAGATTTCAACATTCTTGGTTGGCCTTTAGCCAAACCTACCTCACAGGGTTGTTATGAAGATAAGTTTGTAAAGCACTTTTTATATGGCAGTGTGCATATAAAGTGTTGATGAATTTACAGGCAAGTTTCACAAATACATTTCTCAGACTCTCAAGATTTATGCATTTATTAAAAACCCAATTTAAATGGCAATCTGATGTGAAAGCTGATCGCTGGGGACATGAGGAGTGGTGAAATGCAGTACAATTTAGTGAGTCTAGCTGCTGAAACATGGCCAGAATTTTCACTGGACAAGAGTTACATTTCTATATTTTTACAAAACTATCTCTGAACATTTTTGTTACTTTTCCTTTCATAAGTAAAGTTTTGACATTCTGTGGTCTTTTTGTTCTATGGTAATTTGTATGCATTTTTAAAGTCTTTATTCTTTCTGTAAAGGAACCTATAAAACTTCAATATTATGACTAGAAAAGGCAGTGACCTGTAACTTGTTTGTTACTTTTCCTTTCATAGGTAAAGTTTTGACATTCTGTGGTCTTTTTGGTCTATGGTAATTTGTATGCATTTTTAAAGTCTTTATTCTTTCTGTAAAGGAACCTATAAAACTTCAATATTATGTCTAGAAAAGGCAGTGACCTGTAACTTTCTGGATTAGCATTCTGATTATGGACATATATCCAAAAATATATTCTTGCAGGGCTATTTATGTCCCCACGTTCATGTGTGTCAGTACAAGAGTGTATGCTCGTGCAACTATGATCATGTTGGAGGAGGTCCTACTTAGTCTTCTTATGTTTCTGACATGCAAACCCAAGATTTTCCTGTTAGCTTCTCCTTTACATTTCCCCCTTTCACTTTGTGCTGTTCTCTTTTGTATTAGTGTCATTCACCATTTTCCCTTAGGCAACTTCTATCTGACAGCATATTAAGCAAAGGTTTTCTTTCTTCCTCAGAAACTTGGTCAAAAACACAGTGCTTCCTCATCTGTGCCCAGTAATCTCAAAAGATTCTTTGATCCTACTGACTGCAAGGGGGCAACGTAGCACTCTGAGTGCTGCATATACAGCTATGAAACTTGGCTATTGGAGCTGCTGAGCAACTGGCAGCTACCACCATGTCCTTGGGTGTCCAACATGTATTCAATAATTTGTATTCAGTGAAAGCTTCTCAATTAATCTTTGGTTTCTACTTGCAAGTATCTGAGGAAAATTAAAATTACTGCAGCAGCCAGGAGATAGCATATTTGGGTATTTTTTAATAATCTTTAAAAAGCAGGATACCAAGAGTTGCAGTTGTATGTAGCTAGCTAGCGTTAAACCAATATGCAAATCTGTGGACATTTTTTCATATGATGAACATCCTTTTAATAATCTCATAAGAGCAATGATCTTCTGGGTATTTGGTATCATTCTTTTTGTATCTCAGATACTGGGTCCTTCAGGTACAAATCTGCTAACTTCACGGCCAGTTGGCTTTTCATGTTTTGAAGTGTTCATGCTCTAGGAGAAGAGAACGTGCAGGCTTATTGTATGACTGCTACTTAGCCCCTGCGCTGCAAGTGTGGTGACGACCAGGGCTTCTATCTGTTCTTGCTTTTCTCTGATCTCCAGCCTTGTAATGGGAAGGCATGTATTTTGTTGTAGAATAGAGCAAGAGTCCAGCAGCACCTTAAAAGACTAACAAAATATGTGGCAGGGCAGGAGCTTTCATGGGTCACTGCTCACTTCTTCAGATACAGCAGAAGTGAGCAGTGACTCATGAAAGCTCCTACCCTGCCACATATTTTGTTAGTCTTTAAGGTGCTGCTGGAGTCTTTTTCTTTTGTTTTCAGCAAAACTAAGAGAAATTCATCCCAAATCGAGTGATGGTCTTCTCTTATGGAAATAATGTTGGTTTGACTACAGAGAATCCAGTGGGAAATCTGTTAGTCTGACTGATTCCTTACTAGTTTTGGTTGTCAGCATTCTAAAAGCATTAATTTTCACAAGCAGAGTTACCTATGGAATCTTTGTTTGAAACGATATAGTCATTAGTTTTAATATGTGTAGCCCTGACCTGGCTGGCCCAAGCTAGCCTGATATTGTCAGATCTCAGAGACTAAGCTGGGTTGGTTCTGGTTAGTATTTGGATGGGAGACCACCAAGGAAGTCTGGGGTTGCTAGACCTAGGCAGGCCATGGCCAACCACTTCTGATAGTCTCTGGCCCTGAAAATCCTGTGGGGTCACTTGACAGCACTTTCCACCACCAGTGGGTTTGGGCAAGTGGAAGAATTTGTTAAAGTTGCTCGTTTTTATTCCTGCCATTCACTGAAGAACTTCCTGTCTGTTAGTAAAAATACTAGTTCATTTTATATTTGACACAGCTGAGGTATTTTCAGCACCTTGGACTGCTGAAAATAAAAATTTGAAACATTAGTAATTTCTGTATTGGGCTTTAGCACTCATTTACCTGGTGACACTTCATTACCTCCTGAGTAAATACAACCATAAGCCCAGTAATCTCTAACTTAAATAGAGCTTCCCTTGGGCTGCAGAGCCCACTCCATTGCATACATCAGTACCTGTAAATGTTGGACTTCTACCTCACCAAGGGTATGAGGTAGAGAAATAGCTGTTCAGCAAATATGCATATCTCTTCTCAATTGGTAACTTCTTTTGGGGAAAGTTTGCATACTTGTAGGTGTGTGTTGTGATTGTGGGTTTGTAGTCACTGATAGCTTCTTGATAATGTCATTGTGCCAGGTCTGATAAAAGTCCTGGAACTGCACATTGCATAGGGTTTGAATTCTTACAATGATTAGTTTCAACTTCCAATCAAAGCTGAAGCATATAGATTTCGTGGGCTTTATGGTATTAATGTCACAAAACAGAGAGTTTAGAAATAGCCAGGCCACCATAGAGTTGTCTGATTCCATCCTCTGTTTTGCTTACATCTGTGTTTCTCTCCTTTTTTTAATCCAGTGCTAACCATGAAGAAGTCATGTAACAAGTTCATACCTATAGGTCCTTGCATGTACATGAGTTCGCCATGAGACAGTCACTATGGTGCAGTGGTTAGAGTTTGAGCTAGGAACAGGAAGAATTGGGTTCAAATCCACACTTGCCCATAAAGCTGACTGGGAGACAGAATATCTATCTCCCTGTCTACCTTCTTGGCAGTGTTGTGAGGATAGAAGAGATAAGGAGAGGATGAAAACAGAATATATTGCCCTGAACTTGAAGGAAGAGTGAGATTAAAATGTGATAAATATGTTAGCTATTTACTGGAGAATAAACTATTTTGGGGGAAGGTAGAAGATGCCCATCCCTGATTGGGAGGGGAGACTGTGGAGAAGCTTAATCTAACAGTTTTTAAAGTGAAATATTATCTCTGAAAGAAAGTGGATCTTTTTTCTTTGAGATTTTCCAGAAAAGGCTGGGAAGGAACCCATCAGAGATGTTTTGAGTACAGGGTACCCTGTCTTTAGGGTGTATGGCTGAAGAAGTCTCAGGTCCTTTTATTTGTTCCACATGACAGTCATATGTGCTAATAATTTGACGACATGGATAGTGACAGTAATCACAGATTTCTTGTGCGTTTCTAGTATTGTCAGACGTCAGTGTAATTCAGCATGAAGGTATGGGCCACCTAGTGGCTGAACTGAGACTTACTTGTAATACTTCTGATGAGACTCTGTGGGCTGCCTTAGCTTTCCGAAGCACTCTTTAAGGGTGCTACCCCTGTGGGTGTGGTTCCTCTGATTAAATCCTGTTCCATGACAATACATAATTCTGATAATAATCATGTGGGACAGGCAAACCAGAAGGGATGTTACCAGAGCAGCAGCCCCCTTTCAGAGGGGCATCTAGCATCCCAGGTGATCTGCCATGTTCATTTGGTTACTGCATGGAAGAAATGGCAGCCATTGATGGAGTCACAAGCAATCTGGAAAAAGTAGGTGGCGCTGGGGCAAATTCAACACACACACACACACACATGCTTTTGTAGCCCAGTAGACTTTTTGAGG